CATCATCGGGACACCGACGGGACACCGGCGGGACACCGCGGGCCACCGGCCCCCCGACAAGAAACATTTGGTCCGGCCGCGCCTCAGCCGGAGGCGGGTCACCGGCGGGACACCGCGGGCCACCCGCCCGCGGAGAAGAAACATTTGGTCTGGCCGCGCCTCAGCCGGAGGAGACTTTCTTCTCGCCCGCCCACGCAGCTTCGCCTCGCCCGCACGCACGGCACGCACGAACATAAAACCGAAATCGATTTCCCAGTAGGGGGGCTCTCCGTTCCACTTCGATCTCACCCCCTCACCTCCGATTACACAATCGATCTCAGTATCGATCTCACTGTCGATCCCACTCTTGATCTCACGAACGATCTCACGATCGATCTCGCAACAGATCTCACTATCGATCTCACCGCCGCGCCACCGACCAGACACCCGTCGGGGCACCCCGCGCCACCGACGGGACACCGCCGCCCAGCCGACGGGACACCCCCGGCGACGGCGCCGGGGGGGGGCGGACAATCGGCTCCACAGCCCCTGGCCACGGCGGCATCACTCCCCTGGCGCGCCCACGCAGCTTCGCCGCGCCCGCACGCACGGACACGAGCACGAGCACGAAACCGATTTCCCGGTGGGGGGGCTCTCCGTCCCGCTGCGATCTCAACCCCTTGCCTCCGACTTGGTCTGACGCCTGATAAGATAGCCAGGCTGCCCGAGATCGGTGGCCCATCGGTGGCCCATCGTGGCCCCCAGCGTGCAACTGTGCGAAACTGTTCAGGGCCTTCTGCTGCATGCCTGTCACGTATGCTCCTGCCGCTTTAGGCCCTGCTGTCTCGGAGAAGGGCGAGCTGTCGGTCCCCGGACCCCTCCTGGGGACCCAACGCACCAATTCTCCAAGCTGCTTCCAGCCGTGGCGACAAGGGGGGCCCCCGAAGGCCAACTACCGTTGTCTCAACTCGCCCTCCTCTGATCTTCGCTTCCGCACAGCCGACGCCCTCCTCTGAGGACGACCGACGACTTCGACATCGACCTCGATTTCGCCTTCGACGAGCAAAATATGCATGGGGAAACGGGTCTTGAAGAAAACGAGTCCCAGACTTAGGTCGGGCCTGTTCCCCTACAGGGGGATTTTGGGCGAAAAATGAAAATTGTCAAAAAATATACTGAAATACCCCCCGACAACAAAAAAAGTCCCCTGACTATTCTTTTGCTAGTTTTGAATATTCCTCCTGTAGAGGTTGGGTATGTCTGGGGGGGCAGCACTAAGTGGGGGCCCGAAACGCACCGCACTCGACGCCCACGCTAGCGCCCGCACTTGACGCACACACTCGCGCCCTACACTCGCACGCCCCACTCGCCCCTTGCGCTCGGCCCCCGTACTCGACCCCCGAACTCGGCCCCCGCACTCTACGCCCACGCTCTACGCACACACCCACACCCCACACTCGCACTCCACACTCGCCCCTCGCGCTCGGCCCCCGCACTCGACCCCCACACTCGGCCCCCGCACTCTACGCCCACGCCTTGCGCACACACTCGCACCCTGGGGCCTTCCCCCAAGACGAGCTCTTCATCCCGAGTCGTGTTCTGACGGTCCTGGGCCCGTGGAAGGGGGCCCCGAGCCTCCGAGGATGGCGAAAAACCTCGGGACCCGCTTCCCTCAAGACCCGCGGCGCGCACAAGGGGGTAGTCGGGCCGGGCGAAAGGGGGGATAGCAAAGGGGGGGGTTGAGAATCAGCTCACGTAGCTGAATTTCCCGGCGCCTACCGGCGCCGGGAGGCGGCCATGCATCGAGCAAGGGGCCTGGCGGCGGGGCCGAAACCAGCTGCATGCAGCAGATTTCGTAACCCCCCCCTTTCCCTATCCCCCCCTTTTCGTTCGGCCCGAGGTAGGGGGAGGGGTCTTCTTAGAAGGAGGCTGCTTCTCAGAAGGCGCCGGCCCTACATCTGCAGACAAGGCCCGCGCCCTTCAAGAGGCAGTGGTGCTTCTAAGACGCCTTCCCCCCTCCCCCATACCCCCCGTCTGCGCGTGGCCAACAAGATCCGCTTCCACAATGTCGAGACGGCGAACCAACAAAAATCGGGGGCGCGCAAACATGGATTAGCGATCCATGGATTTGGCGCGCGGTCGCCAAATCCATGGATCGGGGGAGGTGCCCTCCCCAAAATGCGGCCGGTGCCGCCTCGTGCGGCGGCGGAGATCCGCGATTTCCCATGGGAACGGGACCCGTCGCTAATACGCACCCCCTTGATCCATGTTTACGATCAATCGCCTGAAAAAACTAGGGCTCCCAACTTCGCGCTTCGCGCTCCGCGAAGCGCGAATAATTTCGCGCTCTCGCGCCGCCCCCTCAAAGGGAGAAGAGGAGGACGAGGAGGGGGGGAAGGAGGAACGAGGACCGCGAAGCGCGAATAACTTCGCGCCCTCGAGGGCGCCCTTGCAAAAAGAGCACCGCGCCGGAGGCCAGAGCGTCCCGCCAGGGGCGCCGCGGCGCGCCGCGAGGGAGAGGCCGCGGGGCGGCCGAGAGGGGGGGCGCAGAGCATGGCCGGCGGCATGTGCGCGGCCCGGGGGGGGGGGGGCGGGGACGTATTGAAATAAGAAGAGGCACCATGAAATCTGGGGTGATCTCGTGGCCCGGAGATATCGCGGCCCCCGCCATGATATTCCCCCCCAGCCTTGGCGGCGCGCAGAGAGGGGGTGGAGGGAGGGGGGAGGGCTTCTCAGAAGGCTCCGGCCTCACATCTATAGATGTAAGGTCCGCGCCCTCTAAGAAGCAGGGGTGCTTCTAAGAAGCCCTCCCCCCTCCCCCCACCTCCCTCTGCGCGTGGTTGATTCGGCGGTGGACAAACCTCCCTTCAGTAAACCTCCCCTTAGTGAAAACGGCCTGGGACCGAAACCGATGGACCCGGACCCGCAAAAATGACGGCCGCGACACCCTCCCGCGAACCGAAAACGGCCAATTCCTTGATCGACGTGTCAGGGTAGGAGGTCTATCCACCTCCGACTGAAGGTCCTCACCCCCCTTAGACGAGCGCGCCATGCATCGAGGAAGGGGCCTGGCGGCGGGGCCGAAACCAGCTGCATGCAGCAGATCGCGTACCCCCCCCTTTCCCTATCCCCCCCTTTTCGTTCGCCCCGACTCCTCTTGGCCGCCCCCGAGAGGCCGCGGGGCGGCGAGGGGGGTGCGAGGGCCAGGCGCGAGGGGGGAGGGGCACGCAGGGCGGGCACTGCGCGGCCCGCCCCGGCCCCCCCCCCAATGGCGGGGAGGGGCGCGGGGACCACGGCGAGCAGGACGCCCGAGCTCGTCGTCCACGGCGAGGGAGGAAGGGAGGGAGCCCTCTCTCTCCTCCTCCTCCTCCTCCTCCTCCTCCTCCTCCTCCTCCTCCTCCTCCTCCTCCTCCTCCTCCTCCTCCTCCTCCTCCTCCTCCTCCTCCTCCTCCTCCTCCTCCTCCTCCTCCTCCTCCTCCTCCTCCTCCTCCTCCTCCTCCTCCTCCTCCTCCTCCCTCCTCCTCCTCCTCCTCCTCCTCCCTCCTCCTCCTCCTCCTCCTCCTCCTCCTCCTCCTCCTCCTCCTCCTCCTCCTCCTCCTCCTCGTGCGCGGAGTCGAATTCAAGCGGCTAGCGTGTCGTCGCCGAAGGTGACGGCCCTTCTGGCATACCCTCTATTCCGGCCTGCCCCCGGGGTCCCCTTCGGGGGTGCCTGTCCCTCTTTCAGGGGGCCTCCAGGGCCGTGGCGACCGGGGGGGAGGGAGGAGTAGCACTGCCACACGAGAGGTCCGAGGTCCGATGGAGGAAAAACAGTGTGCGGCTGTAGGAGAAGACGTCTTCGGCACCGCTGTGGGGGGCGCCATCCCACAGTGGGCCAGCGACAAGCCACACCCCGAAAGAAAAGACAAGCAGATGCAGCGAAGGAGGGATCCCGTCCTCCCTCCCTCTCTCTCTCTCTCTCTCTCTCTCCCTTCCTCGTTCTGGACGACGAGCTCGACTGAAGATGGAGACGTCGTGTCGACCTTGGCCACCGTCGATCTTGGTCAGCGTCACTTTATCCTCGCGGATCGGCGACGGCCGACGTGGACGATGAACAAGATCGGCATCGACAAAATCCCACGACGCGGTGGTCATGGTCCTCGTGTTTCTTCCCTCGACCGCCCCCCCAAAACGAAACGATGACCGGGACAAGAACCGGACCGTGATGAGCCAAGGATCTCTCCGCGACCGTCCCAGAGCGCTCCAGAGCGCTCCTCAACGCTCTGGAGCGACTTATCCTGATCCTGGGCCCGCCCGACCCTCCCCTCTCAGATCTTGGTTGTCGTGCGTTTCTCAAGTAACCTGATCCCTCGTTACGTAGGTAGGCGGGTCGGATCGGGACGCCTCTGGGGGACCTGACCTCCAAAGACCTCCCGAGGCTGGGGCTTAGATCGTGCAGAACAAACGGGTACGATGCCCGACAGCAGATGTTGTCCAAAACTAGCAGTGGCCGCTGTTGGGTGGGAAGCTTTCTGTCTCACATGAACAGCGCCCACGGCGACGACGACAGCGAGCCCTGCTCAAGATGGACAGGAAACGTTTTCAGTCCTTTTCCCCGTTCTTCTGTGCCCGTGTCGATCGTACCGATCACGCAGGTCGATGATAGGGCGAGTAAGATGTCATGATAAGATTGGCTCAGGATACGTTTCAAGATTTCCAGGGTATCTAGCGGCGCAGCCAGCTCGGAACATTGACATTAGGAACTATGGGGAATCCTGCAAACCCTGGAGACCTTGGAACGTATCATTCTCATGACCACTCGTTCCTCTGAGATGAGGAGGCGAGGAGAGCGAGGGGAAGCGAGGAGGGGGATGAAAGGGCGGAGCGATGCCGGCGAATGTGGGAGGGGAAGGCGGCGCGATCACCTCTTCTTCGCCGCCGCCTTCACGAAGCCCTCCAAATCTTTCTGCGCCCTCCGCAACACCTCCTGCCCCTTCAACTCCTCCCTGACGGCACCGAGGAAAGCATTGATCGTCTTGCTCAGGGCCGGCTTGAGGTCGCCAGGGTGCAGAGCTCCGCTGGCGAAATCCTCCCGCGCAGCGCCCGCGGACGCGTAGGCCTTGTCGCCACCGTTATCGGGCTTGCGGGTGATGCAGAACTCCTTGGTGAAGGGGAGCAGTTCGCCAATCCTAGAGGACCAAAACACGGCACTAGCATAAACTTTCGGAGCTCCGCGCGGACTTCTCGGATCGGCACTGCGCAAAGCACGCTAGGGGCGACGCCGGAGGCGCCGCCAGAGGGGTCCAGCGCAGATCCAAGAACTCCTCGCGGAGCTCCGAAAGTGTATGTTTATGCATGTTACTGTTCTTCGAGATCCACACGAGCGGCGGGCAGAAGTCCGTGTTGCCGGGCTCGCAGAAAGCCTTCTTGACCTTCTTGTTGACCTCGATATCCTTGTCCGTCAGCATAATGTTGACGTCCGCGTCGGCGCCTTCGCCAGGCTGCAGCAGGCGCAGGGCGGGGTCCTCGGCGAGCACCACCTCCGGCGCCGCCAGGCCGCACGCCTCGAAGTGCTGCCCAGCCAGGCGGTGCAGGTTCAGGTGGCTCTTGTCGCTGCACAGCGTTGGAGGCGCGACGCCGTTGACCAACGAGAGAGCGTCCCCCACGTGCATCAGCGAGGCCACCACCTGACACGCGTACTCGAAACTCTCGCCCTCTGCGAGCCCGCTTCGGAGGGCCTCGACGGAAAATCGCCTCCCCGCGTTAATGACGGAAATCCAGTATTCCGAGGGCCCAGACAGAATCATCTCGCCCTGCCAACACACCTGCACCCGCTGCATGAGCTCCGGCGCCAAAGCCCGGAGCCCGGCCAACAGTATCTCATAAAAGCCCTGGATGCACGCCGTGGAAGCGCCAACCCGACCGAGCGCCAATGCGGTCCAGTCCTGAGGGGATATGCATAGGGGGGGAAACATCGACCTGGAATCGGCGATACATCGCCGATAGATCGGCGATAGGCCCCCGATAGAGGATCCGCACGTTCCTGGGCGATCGGCGATCAATGAGCGATTGGGGATCGATGCATCCCCCCCTATCCCTATCCCCCCTATCGTTGCCCCCGAAATCCTCCAGCCACAGCACCACCCTCGCGCCGGTCGGGGCGCGCTGCAGCCGCCGGAGCACCCCGAGGACACAATCTAGCCTCACGGACTCGCTCGGCAAGGGGGCGAAGACCGCGAACACCGCTTCGGACGACTCGGGCTGGATCGCCTTCAGTTAGGTCGGGCGTGTCCTCCAACAGGCGGATTTTGGACTAGGCAAACAACAATCAAAAAATAATCAAAAATACTCAAAGAATCGTCCCCAGACTATTTTTTGATGATTTTTGGGTATTCCTCCTGTAGGGGGACACGCCCGACTTAAGCCTTCAGTCTATGCAGCGCCGTCTTCACCTGGTGAGTCTCCTTCTTGTACTGCCGCACCTTGTCTAGCAAGTCGCGAGCAGTCGCGTCGTTCGTGAAATGCTGCCTGACGGGCTCCAGCAGGAGGTTGATCTCTTTTATCAGGTGGTCTTTGAGGACTGCCTCGCTGATCTCCCCGCTCACGAAAGCCTCCTTAACACTGCCGAAGGTCGGGTAGGTCTTCCCGTTTGCCTGGAAAACGAAACCTGGCTTGCAGAAGAGAATGTTCTGGACGTAGTCCAGGCAGGGATTGTTCAGGTCGTCCTTCCGGGAGAGGCGCAACACAAACATAATCTTTGAACGTCCCCTGGCCGCAGATTCCCGCCAGCGCTGAACCCCCTGCCCACCGCCGCCAGCGCTGGACCCCGGGGCGGCGCCCAAAGGGGTGCGGGGAGGGAGTCCAGCTGAGGTGCACCCTTGGGGGGGACCAGCCCAAAGGAGGAAACACTGAACTGAAATGAGCGATACGTCGCCAATAGATCGGCGGTAGGCCCCCGGTGGCGAAACCGAGCGTTCCTGGGCAGGCTTGGCATCGGGCCCCGATCGGCGATGAGCGGGCGCTTGGGGGTCGATGCATCCCTCCTGCGCCTATCCCCCCGCATCGTTGCCAATGATCCCAGCTCTCGGGTCATAACTCGGGCCTCCGGCGGCCGTTCGGGACGACCGGGGCACCCCTGGACGCCTCTCGGCGAGGCGCAGCTGCTGCAGAGCATGCCGAAGGTGGAACACCGCCCAGAACCGACGAACACGTCCGAAAATCTCGAATCTCGAACCTTGAAACTTCGCCTCCACCCCTGAGCCTCGAATCTCGAACCTTGAAACTCGAAGCTTCGCCCCCACCCCCCGACGACACGAATCTCGAACCTCGAAATTTCGCCCCCCCCCTGAGCCTATCCCCACACAACGTGGTCCCTCCGGGGCGCCGCCAAAGGGGTGCGGGGAGGGAATAGAAAACAGAAAATCCATCCTCATAACAATCACCCCGACTCGCGAAGCCGTTTAGTAAACGCGCCCAAACAAGGAATCGAACAAGGCAGGGCTGTTTAGTAAACGCCCAAGGCCGTTTAGTAAACGCAAATTATCGGGTCTGGATGGTGTTTCCGCCCTTGAAAAAATCTATCTGGCCGCTGCAGGCTGCGGGCCGCAGCTCCTGACCCAGACCGAGGGGAAACCAAAACTGCGACGACCGTTTCAGGCCGACTTCGCGCTGCCAGGCCGATTTCGCGCTGCCAGGTCATGACGCAGTGCAAACAAGAGGAGGAACGGAGCGGCCCCGAGGCGCGGGTAGGGAGACAGGCGCCGGCGGGAATCCACCGCCCGCGGACGTCCGAAATCTGAGCTCCCTGTGCCGAGTTCTCTCCTCCAAGGTGGCCTGCCAGGAGAGCCTCTCGCGGGAACTCCCAAGAGCCTCTCGACGGCCCCTCTCGAGCTCCTCTCGATAGCATCTCGTGAGCCTCCCATGGGAGGCCTCCTAGATGGGGTCGGAGTAGATGGGGTCGGAGGATCGCGCCGCATCGCCGATGCATCGGCGACGTCGGCGATGCGTCAGCGGCGTCGGTGTGAAGAAAATCGGGCTCCGCATCGAGCCGCATCGCCGATGCATCGGCGATGCGGAATGATTCTTCGACCCCATAGTACTCGGACCCCATCTAGGAGGCCTAGTTCTCAGGAGCCTCTCTGGAGCGTCTCGTGGCCCTCTCAGGAAGCTCCTCACAAGAGCCTCCCACCAGCCCCGCAGGAACCTCTCGCCAACCTCTCACGAGCCCCCCACGGGGAGTCTCCCGTGAACCTCTCGGGGCCCCAACTCCAGGAGGACGGGGGCAGGAGTCGGGCGCCGCTCACCAGGGGGAGCAGCGTACGAGGGGGTGTATGCAGAAAGGTGCACCTCTCGAAAGTACGTGCTTGCGCAGCTTGTTCCTCCTCGACAGGTGGGGGAGACAAATTCTGTATGAGTATTATAAGACACTAGTCAATAGTTGGCGCGCTGCTGGATCCGGAGTCGGGGGTATCCAGCCCAGACGCAGCACAACCTCGGGGCCCAAGAGGGGCCCCTTTCAGGGCCATGTATAAGGAACCGAACTCTATATACACCGGCGTTTTTTGCGGCCCTGCACTGAAATTTGTCTAGGAAAGCGGATCCTAGTGTATACGGGATCCTGGTGCATACATTGTTTTCGTTGTATAACGGGGGAAAAAGTATGCACCACACCACCCCGACGTCGTCCCCGACCCTCGAAAAGTCCTGGGATTGAAAAACATGCCGCCACAGGTAATGTATATGCTCCAGTTTCCGACATGTGGGAGACCTGTCCTCCAACCCTCGACCTCACTCAAATTTTGGCGGCGCGCACCAGGAGGGCAAGGGGGGAGGGGGGAAAGGCTCTTCTTAGAAGCACCCTGCTTCTTGGAAGGCGCGGGCCTCATATCTATAGATGAGGGCTCACACCTTTCAAGAAGCAGGGTGCTTCTAAGAAACCATCCCCCTCTCCCTACTCCCCCCCCTTTTGCGCGTGGCTGACTATTATCGCCGCACCGTTACGAAACGCACGAACGAGCGCGAGGAGCAGGAGGCCTCTAGAGGTCAGGATTCCCCTGAAGAGTTTCCCCCCGAGGCCTCACGCCTCGGGGAGGCCCCCAGACCACCAAAACCGTCCCAGCAGCTCGATCCTCGAACCTCGAACCTCGATCCTCGATCCTCGAACCTCGACCCTCGATCGTCCTCCTGGCTAGATGGGGAGGAGGGAAAACACCATCGCGGCCGGTCGCGTCGTGGGGACGTGCAGAGAAGGGACGACCGCCCAAACTGCACGAGTGCCGCTGACGGCTGTCCAGCGAACTTCGGCACGGTGAGGTGAAACGTCGGGGGGGGCACTGGCTCAGGGGGGCACACACTTGCACCTTGAATCTGCGATGCGTCGCCGATAGATCGGCGACAGGCCCCCGATGGCGAATCCGCAGGGGCCTGTGCGCGGTGGGCTGCACATATCGGCGATCAGTGGGCGACGCTGCTGCCCCTGACGCGGGCGGGCCGAAAGGAAGCCAGGACGCGGGGGCATCCTTGCGAAATCGCGCCATCGGACTCGGGCAGGGCATGGAGAACATCGGACGAAACCCAGGCGGGAATCTCTGAGAGCCCGCGGGCCTGGAGGACGCGCCTGCCTGACACCATCCTTACCGCAACGCGCGACGGAAGTGGTAATCAAGTCGTCCTTCACCAAGCGCATCTCCTCGTCCACGGCCTTCTGAGCCGACTCGTCCGGCTTGATCGGGCAATACGCATTGCGGATCTTTCTTTCCACGTCTTCCGGAGTGTCCTCCACGAGCGCTCATCTTATTTCTCTCTGCGCTCCTTCCCTTCTACGTAACTCTTCCCCGTCGCAACCCGAGGCCATTCGAAAGGGCGGGCTGGGTGTTGCGCCTGCGACTTCCTCACCTTGCACGATCCTGTAGCTGACAGGTTGCAACGGGTTCACGGATGAAGAGCGGGTGGTTTTCAAAATGTGGCTCTCGCCTTAGCGCCGCGCACCTTTAAAAACAAATATCCTGGCGAAGGACACGACCATATGTAGCTGCGAGTACGTCGGTGGAGCTCCCAGTGGGGCCACGATCCTCGTGAAGGGTGCGCCGACATGGCCCAAGGCCGTCATGCGAATCTATGCCACTGGGGTCTTCGTTGGGCTCCCTGTTGGGCCACGATCCTTGTGAGGGGCGTGCCGAAATGGTCGACATGCGGGGAGCAGAGGCAAAGATGGGAGGAGGGAGGAGGGGAAGGAAAAGAGGAGGAACGCGGTGTGGCAGCAAAAAGATACGCATAAGCCTGTTTGCCTTGAGCCAACCCAGAAACGGACCGAACGAACAATGGTCTTGGCTCATATGTCTGTTAGGATTGACCCATTCGCTAAACCTAGACCCGTGAAAGTGCCACTTCATCGCACGGGTCAGACTTTCTATTAGGCTTAGGTGCCCTAGCTGACAGAGCTGCGCAAGCAAGTCAGAGGCCCTGGCGCTGATCAGGGCCAGCGGAGAACGAAAGAGAGGTGGTGAGAAAGCCTGGCTCCAGACCCAGAACAGACTCCCGGAAGGCTGTCCATGACACCAGCTTACAGTCCTAGGTATGGGTCCTTCTTGAGGACGCTTGGGATCAATCCTTGCATCCAGGGTCGCATTGGCGACGGTTCAGCTCGCTTGCCTCGTCCATCAAAACTAGCTTAC